TGCCCCTTGAAGGCAAAACAATGACCAATCTCCTCCTAAAAAAACAATTTTCCAGTGACTTCGTCTTCAGGGTGTAGCATGCCCAGGCATGACCCCATGTAGGAGCTGGTTTGGAGCCAACGACGATGTTCATCGTCAATGTTCACCTGTCTGCCGGGCCGAATGCAGATCGACGACTACGGCAGGTGCACGAAGCCTTAGATTGTGTTGAAAAGGAGACGGGCAAAGTTAGAGACAAACTCACTTAAAAACTGATGGATTGCATGGTCTCTTGATACTTCAGGTGCCTAAATTCCTAGAGAGGTTTGCCAGTACCAGTTGGTGCATGTTTGATCTATATCAGTTTCATTAAATTCCTGTCATAGCTCAAGCCTTGTGGCCCTACTGACAGTCAGAGGGCAAGCATCGCAGCATGTGCAGGAGATCAAAAAGTTGAAGATGAATCCAGCTCACGTCCCGATCGTCTTCTGTGGAGATTTCAACAGTCAGGGTGCGACAGCAGTTCGGGAATTGTTGACCACTGGTGAGGTTCACCCAGAGTTCAGGGAGTCTGGCGATCCAACTGAGATTGGGCAAGAAGGCAAGCAGATAACTTCAAAGGTCAAGAAACATGGTTTGGCACTTTTTCAGGATGCAGCAGAATCTGGATATGGTCGCCCTCCTGCAACCATTCTAGCGCAAAATATTGCTGACAAAATGTTGACCAGTGATGGAACTCTAACTCCAGAGATGCAACAAAAGCTCGATGCTGCCTTTGACTCATGCCGTGCAGATCATGATGTTTCTGAGCTCAATTCTCTTGACGGACGTGTATTCTTTTGGCGTGACGGGATATGAATCTAAAAAACACGCACACACACACACACACATATATATATATATTATATAGATTAAACAAGCAAACATGTTCAATCCGTCCATTCGAAACCATGCAGGGGTTGCGGTAGTGCTCTTGTTTTCTTTGTGGGCACTTGATAACACTGTTGAAAGCGAACCTGCACAGTATACTGATTAGGTTTGGTGGCCAGATGTTTAGCTGGCACATATATATACTGTATATATATATAGACTCGACCCAAAAAAAACTTGACTCCCTCAAACCAAGCCTAAAGATCCCTCCTCAAGACCTTCAGTGTGCACATGGTGTTTGAACACAGCCATTGGGCTAGTGCACTTGCCTGAATCCAGGCTGTCATTGATCATTACAGTCATTTCTTGAATTCACTCACTCGTGGCCATGTTTGAAGGTTCTAGATGCGTTGCATGTGCATGCACACAGACCAGTCGGAGATCATGATGGCAAAAAGCATGCTGTAGTGTGGTAAGCCGCGACCGCAGAGTTTTAGAGATTTGAGAGGTGATAGGGGAGCAACTTTGTTGTGAAATAGTGGTAGGATACTCAACTTGATTCAGTAGTGCTTTTCCACAAATTCCAACTGTCCTCACGCTTTCTAGGTCTTGAGCTCTGATGACGTTGAGCGATTCCTGCTGAAAGTCAACCGAGCACTTGGGAGGGGCAGTGAGTTTCGCTTTGTGCAGAAAGTCTATGAAGAAACTGGCCGGACACTTGCCAAAAGATGCCGACAAATCTCAACCTTTCAAGGCCTCGCGGGTGTGGAAGCGTTGTGTCAAGCCGAGAAAGCTATGGCAAGTGCATCCCACACAAGCCACTAACGAAAAAAGGCAGTCGGTACAACTGGGCACCACCAGATGCAAGGGTGCAATTTGCCGTTTTGTGCTGTTGCAGTTTGCAGAGAGTTGTGTATCCATATCTGCTGGGCTTTGCGTCTCAGGAATGAACTTTGCCGGGAGGATTTTCACGCTTTGTATGCAGCAGAGCTTGCCGATGGAAAATTTTGGGGTGTGGAGCATGATATGCGTGAACTGGTAGGTTTCTGGGCCGATTGTACGCCCACAGCTTGTTTTTGCACTTGTTATATCGACTGCACGGGAAGCATTGCGCTGGTCATTGCACAAAAATCAAAATGCCTCGTGACTTGTCGTGCTTCTGAGGTTCCGGCTTGGCAAAACCAGCAGATGGTCCTTATGAACTTCGCTTCGACTACATCTACTTTACAGGAGCTACTTTGAAGCTGACTGGAGTTGATCAGGTTCTCAGCCAAGTGCAATTCGACCACATTTTTGGCGAACCCTATGAGATCCTGCCGAATTCATGGCATCCATCTGATCATTTGCCTGTCATTGCCTCCTTTGGCTTAAATGGCATGGCGTAGATGTCGCGGTGAGTTTTTAATGCTTCTGATTGCGGCCTGACCATGGCCTGATGTCCCAGAACAGGTCACCAAACACTTGTCAAACAATGAGACGCTGTGTCATATAAACAGTTTATAGGTATGATTATGATTGGATATGATGAGATATGAACGTAAGTCGATGACTAGGTGTTTGAACGTGTTTCCTCAGTTTTTCACTGCTGTCCTCGCAGTCGGGACTGCTGGTGACTACTGGAAGACATATACTTTTGACTCATCCGTTCGCCGGCAGTCAAAATGCGTGTGACAATTACTGTACCATTTTCGTGGAAGATGAAAGGATGAATCTCAGTCAGCCCAACTGGATTCTGTGCAACTCTTGTAACGGTAACGCGTAAAGGCCCTTCCAGATTTGTTGGATTGCACTTCACCATGAATGTGGAGCCTTTCGACGTGCCTCGTGCAAGGTTGGAGGAGGAGCAATGGAAGGAAAGATATCCAAACCATGTTGACATGGTGGATGGCTTGCGCAAGCTTGGCCATGATGCTCGTTTCGGTGTAGATGCGCGTCAGGCCAGCCGAATGCTTGACGCTTTCATTCTTGGGGAAGCTAGACTCGTGATGCTGCTTCATATGACGTGCATTCCTCAATCCAACCATCTCAGCCTCCCTTTGGACTGCTGGCTGTGTGAGAGAACATGTCCTCTGTCAGGTGAACTGCGCAAACTACTCAATGGTGATTTTCAACTTCCCGGTCGCTTGTTTTGGCCTGAAGCGGCAGCAGATTCACAATCAATCTATCAATCTTAATCATAGTAAAAACAAAAAATATATTAAATGCTGTGAGGCGGCAGCGGGTGAGTGAGAGATATTACTCTATGATGGCCAATAGAATGCAATGGATTCGACAATGCCATATAATGCGTATGTACAGATGCGTCGTGTCATATATATATATATATATTTATAGACATACATACATATATATATATATATAAGTAGTTAGATGTATTTTGTATACATAATATATATATATATATTTATTGTTGCATCAAGATTCGTCACTGGATCACGAAGCCTCCACTTGGTTTACTGGGCGAGCTGTTTTGTTCTCAAAACCTAGGCTGTGGCTATGCAAGACTGCACAGACCTGAAGCCAGAGAAAGCTGGAAGCATCAGTGGTGAGTTGGCTTTGGATTTCTTGAAGAATGCTCAGGCACTCGACTGGCTCTGATTCCCTCGCCGCGGGTCGAATAATTTCCTAGAATTGCTGGGGACACAACGCTTCTTCAAAGGGAACAGGTTTAACTATATATTTTTAACAAAGGCAGCCTACTAGACGCATTTGTTTGTGTCCGTGCGTGCTGGGATAGGCCACCAGTGATTTGGGCACCCTCTTGGTGCTGGGCTTGTGGGGGCGCTGTGATGGTCAACCGGACAAGCGCCTCTATGGCCAGGCCTGGGGCCCACGCCGTTTTGTCAGATGCGTTCGCTGTTTGGCAGTGCCTTTGGGCCTGGCCTTCCCACCTTAGCTTCCTGAAAGTCCCGATGCTTCAGGATTCCCACGAGCTGGTTGCTTCTGCAATCGCAGAGGGCACCCGATGCTTGGAGGATGCTTTGCCAGGTGCGACAAGCTAACCCTTGGAGTGGTAGTGGTGCTTGTTGCCTGTAGGAAGTTGACCGTTTCAGCTCAAGCCTGTGAAATTGAACATATTTGAAGCGTGTTTTGATGTCACCGGTTTTTGCCTTGGGGCCTGCATGAGTTCAAAGCTTTGAATTCTTTGCCTTGGGAGCTGCCTGAGTTGGCTTCGTGCGGAGCGGTGTGCACGCAGACTACAACTTCTACAAGCCCTATACCGAGGCCTTTGGCACTGGTCACATTGCATGGATTTGGTTGATGAGAAAGCGATCAATCCTAGCAGAGGGCCCGACGCAATGAACATGAGGCCCTAAAGCTGGTGTTAAAACATCTATATGTATAAGGTGCAATTGGGAGGCATGTCAATGGCTGGAGCAGTGCACTGCAGGTGGTGCAGTGCACAGGTCTCAGGGAATGTAACTTAAAGTCCGAAGACCCATTGCAATCTCTCCGCATATGATGCCTGAATTGTAATGATGCTGGCTTATTGGCCGTAGCACGGTTCCAAAGGTACTGCTGTTTCTCTTGTTTTTTTCCTGCGATGAGAAGCAGGAAGGATACGCGTTTCGGTCCACGTCTGGTGCAGCCGCCTTTGCAGCTGGGCATTGAGCAAAGCACCTTCCGGGGCCTGGTTTCCGGGGACTTCACTCATCAGCCTGATGGATCCTATGTGGTAGGGCATGAACATGCTTGACCCAGTGGAGGCACCCAGATTCATCATGGTGTTGTTTGTTTGTTTGTTGGCTGGCTGGCTGGCCGGCTGTCTGGCTGGTTGGTTGGTTGGTGGTTCATTTGTGGGTGATTAGCCTTTTGAATCCTAGAAACTTCTCGAGAGTGTGGCTTGGATCAGCTTGCACTAAGGAGAGCTCCCACAAGGAGTGGCACCTCCAAGGATGTTTCGTGCTGAGAGTCGTGGCTGCAGACCAAAAAAATCAGCGCGGTGCTCTTGGAGGGTGCTCCAGGTATATGCTGATAGAAACATTGAATCAAACAGCTAGAGATAAGATCATGAAAGTGTGTTATCACGGCCAGGGTCCTAGGCTGCATGCCTCGTGCACCAGAATCAGAGTCTCGTAATTTGAGAACAATTAAGGGTCTTTGGTAGTCCTTGAGCAGTCTCCCGTTTTTGCCCAAGCCAAGCCAAAAAGGCCACGCTCAGCGAGCGACCCATGCTGCGCTCCACATCGGAGAGCGGGTTTGAACCCCGGGGGTGCCGGGGAGTGCTTTTTACGTTGGAAGGCTGGACACATACGTGCAGAGCCGATTTGTAGCCAGGAATCGGTCATGGTCATGGTAGATATGAATGGCATAATGGGACTGAATGAACTTGATGCCTAAGTCCAAGCCCATGAGCCTGCTAATGATGCCAATGTTTGCAAGGCTTCCAGTGCTTGGAGTATGGTCAGGTCAGTCATGCAGGGTGCTTGTGGCTTTCGAAGACATCGATCCTTTACCTCCGGGGGGGCCAACAGATGGGCTGCTTTGTTCGCGGAAGCGTTTCGCCGCTGTTGCGGATGGATGACTGACGAATGGCCTCAGATCCTGTTCCAGTTTGTTTCACATTGTCCACTCGTAGTAGCCGGTTCACAAAACGTTACAGAAGCAAGCTATCCGGCCCAGGTTGAAAAACATCAAAAGACAGAAGGAAGCCGAGCAGGCCATGGAGAGCATTGAACTCTCAAATTTTACCTCCTGGCCAATAGATGAACACACATGGCTTCTGGTGAAGCCACAATTGAAGTTCCATTCAATTTATGCCGACCGCATGGTGCTGTGGTTGGATTGATTGCCCATTCCTGGGACTTTGGTGATGCAGAGATACACCACACACCCGATGTGCCCCTCTCACATCCCTCTCACACTATTCTCCAGGTTCAGGACAAAACCGCGCATATGGAGGAAGGCAAGCGCGGCACCGGCAGTGTCCTCAAGACTCAAGACTTTTCTTTCCACACATACACGCACATATATAAGACCCTATACATACACACATTGGCTGTCTGTATGTAATGCAATGTAATGTAATGTAATGGTTGGTATGTATGTAATGTAGTGTAATGTAATGTACTGTAATGTAATGGATGATATGTATGTAATGTAGTGTAATGTAATGCAGTGTAGTGTAGTGTAATGTAATGGTAATGGTAATGGTAAGTTATGGTATGGTATTGTATGTATGTATGTGTGTGTGTTTGTTTGTTTGTTTGCTTGTTATGTATGTAGTGTATGTATGTAATGTATGCAGGTACTGTAATGTAATGTTCTGTAACGTAATGTAATACAATGTAGTGTAATGTATGTAATGTATGTAGTGTATGTAACGTATGGTATGTATGGCATGTAGGGTATGTAGGTATGTATGTATGTATGTATGCATGTATGTATGTATGTATGTATGTATGTATGTATGTATGTAT